AACAAAGCAACAGCTCAACGGAAACAAAAGATAACTAAAGTAAACATCCAACTAGCTTCAGCAGCAACGAGTATCACTTATACAAGTCACTACATGTATGTGGAAAGCAAAAACGATGGTGATTACACAATATTTTTTCAAGGTTGAATATATCTGTAGCTGAAGCTTAGAATTTACTGTTAGTATGTATTCATGAACACCTGGAACCAAATGCCTGTGGTATGTATGCACAGGCATGCTAATGTATGAAGGGTTTACAAAGATTCTTCAGATGAAAAATATGCTCTATAGCAGGTGTGTGTGGCCCCAGACTTTCCCTGCAGGACCGCTAAATACAGTAGGCAACCAGAGCCCAAGATATCTAAAGGCATTCTAGACCACAGTGACAGAGGGAGCGCAGACATACGGGCTGTTTCTCCATATTTCATGTACTGTTGTACATGAAAAACATAGCTGTACCTTAGGAAGCTGTCTTGGCCTTTTGTAGTATGGATGAAGCCAGCATACACAGATCAGTCTAGGATGAGTCTGACTTTATGTCTTATCCTGTGATTGTCGAATTCAGCTTTGTGAAATAGCACCCTGGTTTAGAGACACAGCAGTGTTTTAGAAGGTTTGCAGTTGTTCCTCTTCTTAATGAATAGGTAACTTAAAGGTAATTGGCTGTGCTGGATTTTTGGGGTTGTTGGAGTAAAAGTAGTTGAGTGCAGAGGTATTTCGTACCCTTTACATAATATTAACAGACAGAGGGGATTATTAAAAAAAAAACAGAAAGAGCTTGTGCTAGGACATCACAAGGAGTGTAGCACTGAATAAAATAATAATAATTAAAAAAAATAAAATCTTTAATGTTAAAATTGCTTTAACCATAAGAACAATAATAATTTTGCCATCGAACTTTTGGCCTGAGAAAAAACATGTAATATGTAGCCAACATTTTGAAGAATGTTTTCAAGATGGCGTGGATAATAGCGCATTGTGACGTCACAAACTGGTAGGTGTCAGTAGTGTTCTTTGCAAGTAAAGCACATTCAAATGAAATTACTCTTATTTAAAAACACTTATAATTTATTGAACAGTATATAATATTTCATAATTAAAGTACTTTCAGAAGTTTGAAATCTGAATATGACTGGACTTCTTTAAATTTTTACTACTACTTTTTATTTCTTCAAAGTTTTCATTTAAGGTTTTACGGTTAGTCTTCTTTTCAAATTGCGTTTTCCAGATCAGATTCTCTTCATGTCTGGGGATGGCTTTCCTCTTGAGTGAAGGGCATTTCTATTGGTCTGCATGGATGTTAGCAAGAAAAGTGTATCAGTCAATGTGCGCCTCAAAAGTGAGCATTTGTAATGGGCTTGATGTTAAGAGAAATTCATTTGTAAAAAGATTGCACTTGTTAAACTCAATCTGAACACAGATTATATTAAAAACTAAACACTGACAAGATAACATTTGTAGAAGTAATAATATAATGTAACAAATACAATATGAAAAAAATATATTTAAAAAACATAAAATTTAAGAAAACCACCTTAAGTTTTATTTTTAGGTTAATTTCTGGATTACATTTTTCAAATTTCCATTTACATAGTTGTCCTTTGCTTGCAACACTAGGGGAAAAAGATCCCTCCATCGTAGGTTCTTGCGTTTTCTTGTGATGTACTGTGGCTTTGAGCCTTTATAAGTTTTACTATAGCCTGCATTTTTAATTCTATCAGGCTACTAAAACTAAAAGTACAGTTTAAAAAGGTTGCATTAAACAAGTTTTGGAATGCTGATTTATTTTTCTCACTTCTATATCATCTGCCAATTTTCCATTGTTATGCAGGTAAACATTTTTCCATAGGATAATTTTAGTAGCTACTAGCCATTCAAATGATAGCAGTTGAAAAAACTTTGCTGAAACATGCTCTCATGATGGCAGCAATGTGGTTTCTTTATTCAAACCTAATAAATATAATTCCTGTCGGTGTTGTATAACATACCATATCATAAACTCGCAAAATTCTCAAAAAAGGGCCAGATTTTATTCACCTGGCTCTTTTTTGGACGACATGGGATGTGTTAAAACTTGACATGAATTGTTAGTCATTTTGAATATTATTAAGAGCAGGTTTTTTTTCTTGTATTTCCCACAAGCTGTATCTGGTTCTCCTTGCACTACAGATTCACACAGTTTGCATGTGGGGTTGTGAATTATGAGGTGCTTGGTTGTGTTTTGGATGTCTAAATGATAAAGTAATGAAGTGTATGTGAGAAGGGAAGAGGTGAAGAAGTTGCTTCACAGGAGTGCTAAGTGGTGCTTCTCTTGCTTCTCTAAATGCTCCTATAAACAAAAGTGTTTCTGAAACTACGGAGTGAGTTTTATTCCATTATTGTTGTATGGTTGAAAGTAAAAAACTATTTTGCAATAAAAAAAGTTAAACCATTTAATCCAGGAAAAAAAGCACCTCGAAATACCTCTTAACTATAAACTTGTCATAGTCTTGGTTCTGTTATGTTTTCTTTTGAGTTTTCCTTTTTACTTTGCTCCATGTTTTATTGGTTTAATTCCTATTTTGTTGTGTTTTCTGGTTATATTTCAGTTCTTAGGTTTTTATTTGTTGCCCTCTGTTGCCCTCTTGTGTTGCTCTCCTTTTCCCAATTTCTTTCTTTACTCCTCTCTTCCCACCTGCCCCCAATCAGCTTGTTAGTCCTCTCTTTGTTCAGTCTTCCATAAATACTCTCCTTGTGCCGTTCCTCAGTGCTGGTTACTTTGTCTTACCTTGTCGTGATTGTTTTCCCCTGATGTCTCCATGGTTCTGGTTATTTAACTTTTCTCATGTTGGACTTTTGGATTCCTGCGTCAGTTGATTGTGAACCACTCATTAAGTCTACAAAACACCCACCTCTGCCTTCCTGCCTCTGCATTTGGATCCTCAACCAAACCCTGACAAAACTATATAATCTCATACATAATATATTATTATATTTGTTTTCATACTTTTTATAAACTTTTTCCTTATTCTATTTCATGTTTAGTTTTCTATTTTTCCACTGAAAATAGGATTAGATTTTACATTTCCTTTTTCTGATTAAGTTTAACAAATTACATTCTTTTCTAATGCATTTTTGAGATCCCAATTGGTGCCTTCAAGTTGAGTTAGACCTACGCAGATCCGATCGGTGTTGGTCTTATTGTTTAGATCTCTGTCATACTTGCTCCCATCTGTATCTAAAGTCTGGAGCACGTGAGTATCTTAAAACTCTAGAGATCAAATAGAGATCTATTCATCTGAGGCAGCTCAGAAAGAGCGCCTGAGCAGAACCACAAAATATAGGTCAGCAGTCAAAACAGGAAGTGAACATGATGTCTCATCAACAGCAGCAGCATCCTTTAGTGGTTTCTCTCTTTCAAGTGGTTCCTGTCTATTATTTCCTTCGTTGGTCTTATTTGTGTCATATTTCTTGAGACGTGTGGTGTTCTGGTGGCAATAAGCTTCTAATCTAACAACTTTGTGTGGTGTTGCATTGAATAGTGTAGTGATCTTGTCTGCTCTGTCTTATTGAAGTTGTTCTGTGTGTCCTATCTCCCCTGCTGGGCCTTTGCCTGTGGTTGGATGTCCCACACTATGGTTGTAGTCTTTTACATGCCCATACTAGTGCTAGGGCTTCTCTTTCTGTTTGAGAGTACTTGTGCTTACGGTCTGTTAGGCTACTACTTACCGGTATATAGCAGATTGCTACCTCTTTTTCCTGTCTGTGTTTGAATCAGCACTGCGCCCAAGCATACAGGGCTTGCATCAACAAGAACTTTAGTTGGGGCTTCTATGTCAAAGTAAGCCAGGCTATCCGTTTTAGCTAGTTCAGCTTTTAATGTTTTAAATGTGTGTTTTTGTTTTGTCCCAAATGTAAATGTACTTTATTTCTGAGTTACCGTAAATGTCGTAATGGTTCTGAGAGTGTGGTAAACTGTGGTATGAACCTGCTGTTGAAGCCTTATAGTCCCAAGAATCTACTCGCCTCTGCAATGTAAACTCCGCTACAGCTCTCATTATTTCCTCTGTATTTTCGATGCCTTCCTACATTACCATGATAACAAGTCTGTCCAGGTTAAACCGGCACTCTAATTTAGTGTTAAGCCACATTCTGAAAGTCTTTTCACAACACCATTCAGATGCTTGTCATGTGTTTCCTGGTCTGGTGCAGGTATGATCAGGTAATCTGAGATGTTCTCAGCTGTTTCAAAGCCTGCCACAGCGTTAGCGATCTCGTGTTGTAATTACCCACTGGCTGATTAGTCTCTTGTATCTGTAAACTCAGTTGTGCACTGCAAATGTTGGGATCTCTCTGGACTATCGGGATTACAGCAATTGCGGGTATCACCATTTGAGATCAAATTTGTCGAAGATTTCAAATCCATTCAAGCCTTGCAGAATTTAATCCACTGTAGAAATTGGGCTTCTTTCTCTGACTACTGCTTTGTTTGCTTTCTTCATGTCCGAGCACATCCTGATATTTTTGGTGATGTTTTTTACCTGATCCGGATTTTTAGCTTCTGTTGGAGAAACTCACAGAGAGTCAACTCGGGATCCTCCTCCTGCTGCTCCAGAAGGCCTGCGAAAATGAGGTTGTCTCTGATAAATAGTGACTGAATGTCCAAAATGGATTTTCTTATCTTCCTATTTTTGCCGGACAGCAATTTCATACCCTCTGTGAGCTTTGTGACATCTCACCTCAGCGCTTCTTTCTCAGCGGTAACTGAGGCTAGCTGTGCTTGACTGTATTTCAATGACTCTCTCAGGGCTTGAGACTCCTTATGCAGGACTTCTACCAAGCCTTACTTTGTTTAATTTACAATTATTGACTTGTACTTACCTGAGTGAATTTGATTTTAACTACATGTATGTCGCCATTTTACTTACGCACAGCTCTCGTGAGATCTCAGCCACTCATTCCTCTAAAAGGTAAATAATGATCTTGATTCCATGTTTCTTTTTCCTGTGCTTTGTTCTCAGGACAGTGACGATCAACCACAGCTGACAGACATTGCGGAGCCACACAATAATGAGTCGCTGGGACAGACAATGGACCAAGAGATAGATTTGGTTTACTCCCTCAATGACAGGCCAGCATGGTATCTCTGCATTCTTCTCGGCTTTCAGGTAAAAAAAAATATCAGCTTGTCAAGTTAGATCAACCAACAGCAGTGTTGGACCATAGAAAAACACAGGTCCAAGGATTTCATTAAAAAAAATTAAAGTATTGTGGCACTCAGTAAAGATTTTTTGGACACATCAAAAAATATTTTTCACTGATTAATATGAGCCAGTCATATCAATGTTCTTTTTATGGATTACAACCCAACCACAATATTTGCACTTCAAAAAGTAACAAAATAAAATAAATTACAATCTAAAAAAATACATAGTGCAAGTTTTATTTAGGCACATCACCTATATAATATTAACAAGCTGTATCAGCCAAATTTCTCTGATCTGGGCGAAGAAGAAAATAGCTAATTTATGAAGGCCTGAGTGGGATCTTTACTCAGTCTGTTTACGAAAGCTAAAAATGGTGTACACAAAAGTATTTCCTTAATCAAAGTCACTCAAAAATAGAGTCAGTTATGGCTGCAGCCGGGAGACCTCCTATTTTATGGCGCTCGCTTCAAGCCGCTTCCCTGGAGAACTTAATTCACAGCCCCCATTCTTATCTTTTTCATAGTTAATTTACATATCATCATAGCTTGACTTTTTCAGGTGATAAAATGTGCAATGTTACAACACATTCTTTGACTAATCATATATTTTGACTGAAGGAGAGGCTGTTTCAGATTTTCCTTACTAGCCTGTTATGTACTAACCCAAACTTCACGGGACTAAGACCTAATTTTTAAGTCTGCTGTCAGAAGATTTCTTAAAACATTGCTCTTAAGATCAATATGTCCGGACTCAGAACTTAGGACCCAGAATTAGAAGCAGTTTATTTGTATGTGTCGGATCTAAAACTTAGCAGGTAGGGCAATAGTATGAATCTCTGGAGAGGGCGAAACTCAGGTTAGTGACAACGTAAATCTTATGGAAGATTACAAGCGTGTAAGTCATTAAACTGGTTTTTGAGTTCAGTCTGTGCCCAGAACAAAGGTTGGGATTTGACTAAAAGATTACCAAAAGCAGATGCCCAGAGTCCTGGGAGTCAGGGCTAAAACGTTGCTAAACTGGCTGACAAACAGATCAATGCAGACGAAGGAGGCAATAGTATCCAGAAGACAAAGCCAAAGCCGGTGTTGAAGAGCTTAACAGGAGTCCAGGCAAGAAGATCAGATACCCAAAGAGGCACAGAGGGGAAATCCAAGTCAAAGTCAGGATTATGGCTGATTAAGTCCACAGGCAGAAAACCAGCAGGAGTCCGAAGACAGGTCAGACAAAAAGATCAGAACAGCAACAGGCAGGCTGAGAGGTCCACAGGCAGAACAGGTGAGGATAAGGCAATAAGAACACAAACAGGTACGCTAGAGAACTCTCACCGAAGGCTCGAATAATCTGGCAATGACGAGCAAGCAGGTTAAATAGAGACTGGAGCAGGTGATACAGATGAACAGTGATGAGAAACTGGGCGGAGCTAGGCAGAAGCTTCCCCCCCGCTGATGTCATATAGAAAACACATAATTGTTTTTACAGTGAAAGAGGAGAAGACATCTTAATCTGTCTTTTTATCTGCTATTTTTAATCAAATATTTTCCTTTTTTACATCATTGTCTTATTGTTATTATTATGTTTTATTTTCTCTAATAATTTATGTTGTCTTTATCTTACTGCGATGTACTTGTTTTCCTCATGTACAGCAATTTGATTTGTTTTGCCACTGAAATACACTATATAAACCTCTTTGACTAATATGTACTATGTACCACCACGCTAATATTTGCCAAATACGACTGCTTTCTACAAGCAGTTGAGTGCAAAGTAATATCCAATAGAAACACTAGTAAAGCAACTAGTAATGCAAATAAACATAGCACTAACAAATGAGAATGTCAAATGTAAAATTTAAGGGATTTGAAACATATATATATATATATATATATATATATATATATATATATATATATATATATATATATATATATATATATATATATATATATATATATATACATATATATATATATATATATATATATATATATATATATATATATATATATATATATATATATATATATATATATAACAAACAAAACTGTTCTCTCACCCCTTGTGGGGTGGTATGTGTCATCCTCAAGCTCGGGTCCTCTACCAGAGGCCTGGGAGTTTGAGGGTTCTGCGCATATATACATATATATATATATATATATATATATATATATATATATATATATATATATATATAAATAAATGAAGAGTTTTTCTTTCAGCTGTTTAGTTAGACCATGTGGTCTTCAGATATAAGATGAGTAATCATATTCAGAGGCTGATAATTACTTAAATTCTTTCTTCTTCATTCAAAATCATATTAAATGAAGGAGAGAAGATAGAACTATAAATAAAACTATAAATAAAATTCACAGTAAAACAATATGTTGGGAAAAAACTCAATGAGAGTTACATTTAATTTTGGGATCAATAAGCTATATTTTGATTGAATTAAACAACCAACAGGTAAGGATTCTGATTTTGTCGTCAAAAGTTTAGACTCTCTAGATGCTGATGTTATACTTGTTTTTTTTTTTTTTGTAAAAGCTTAATCATACAATTTCACTGTCTTGGTAAGTCTTTGAGCCCTTCTCTATTGCTATGGCCAAGTTTAATTGTTTTCCTGCTGAATTGCTAGTATTTTTAGGCTTTACTGACAGATAACTGGAAAAAAAAAACTTTAATCACTATATGAGCAAAAAAATCTGGTTAGTTGAATGTTGGTATACTGTAATAAAATATGTATATATTTATTTTACAGCAAATAGAATATTAAGCATGAACTGCATTTTACACAGAATTGTTTTGCAATTTCATGCAATTTAATGTTTCTGCTATTTTTTCCATTATCACTAAAAATACAGATATAAAAAAATGTGTTTAAATATACTGCAGTAAACCAACATAATTCTTTCTAATGTGCTGCTTAAAATCCATCAGTAAACCCAGCTTTTCTAAGCAGACTCCAGGATGTCTGGCCATTGACCACATCTGATAAATTTGTCATGTGAATCGAATTCATGTCCATGAAACCTTAGTGGCTCTAATGTAAGCAGAAGACAGCAGCTGATTTGTGTCCTTTTTTATGTGTATGTGGCTTATATAATTAATTCTTCAAAAATGTTGCAGACATGTATGTGGATTATTAACTATATTATGAAATAACAATTTATTTTTGGTATAAAGTAACATAATCTGTGAAACCTAGAAAAAAGAATATTTGTTTCAACCTATATGTGTAAACCAAGACAGATATAAACTAAATTTAATTACAGTTTAAAGCATGCATTTAGATTGATTCATTCTTAATTCTGTGTTTATTAAAGGGGTCATAGAATGCCAAACCCAGTTTACCGTGTCATAGATGAACAACGATAGTTCAGTGGGTGAAATGGACGTACAGAGAAGTTCAAATTCCATCGACACCTCCTTTCTCTGCAATGTCACAATTATAAACTTCCACGATAAAACGGGCAAATTCAAACGAAGCCCTAAGTTGACGTAAACTCGGGGATGTTGCCTTATTTGGTTCTGTCCTGTACTTTTGTCACGCCCCGAAATTTACATGCAGTCCAGCCCACTGATTCCCTGGCTCAAGGGAGGGGGCTTTAAGAAGTGTCGACTGCTGGGCCGCTGACTGGACCGGACCTCAGCAGAGAGCCAAGAGCAGCCCATCCTAAGCTGGAGTAGGGGGGCTGGGGGCCGGTAAAGCAGGTTGGGGGAAGCACAGGGCCGCCTGTGTCAAGGCTACCATCACCTAGTTGGGTTCGGTTGCTCCTTCCGCTGCTGGCTCTCTGCCCCCGTCCGCCAGGGTTCCTGGATCAGCCCCGGAGCTGACGGCTCGGTTCGAGTGCCAGGTGTGTTTCGACTACGTGCTGCACTGTAGTTTACCAAAATCCCAGACGATTTTGAAATTCCCCCCTGGAGGTTTTGTTTAGGTATGAAAAGTATGACATGTCCAGGATAAAGAGGACATCTGGTCACACTACTGTATCAACAATTTGATGTTTCAGTGAGTGAGTGCTTGTTGCTATGATGCGTCTCTGCTCACCAGCTTCGCTCGTTGTAAAACAACCAATCAGCGCACAGTTCATCTAAATATTCATGATCATACCTTAAAAGGAAGAAAACCTGTTGTTTTATTCTATGGCTTTTAACCAGGCTTGTATTAGGGTGCATAGAACAGCAAATATGCAATTTTCAGCCCAACTAATGCTACACACCCTATTCAGAGACCTTCAGGACACGCACCAAATACCCTATATAATCATTCTATGACCCCTTTAATAGAACAAGACAGCTACAAATAAGGCATAGAAAATATGACATGACAAAGAAATCAGAGGGATAGAGGGTCACAAGTTTGTTTCATAATTAAGTAACCAAGGCATGAGACAGTAAAATGGATATGTGATTATCATAAGTTAGTGTTATCAGTTATTTTGCATTTATCTCAGACACGTATTAAACTCAGATACGTACAACAAATGTACGTATCTGAGTATGGAATGTCCTATATATTTTTCCCAGGCTTTATTTCCTACCTCATAATTGTTGTCCATCATAACATCTTCCTTGTATTCCCCCTTCTTTCCCTGCTTTCTGATGTTTTTTTCTTTACTATTTTTCCTTTCCGTTTCCTAGTTGTCCTTTTTTACTGTCCTTCCTTTCCTCATCATAGGCGTATTTTTGTCCTTAATTCCTTGGCCTCCCCTTCTGTTATACCCTTCTTTACATTCCATTGTGTCCTTTCGACCTTTCCTTCAAAATACTTTTGTTAATTTTTACTTCTTTAACCTTTCTTGTCTTTTCTTCAAAATTGTTCTTTCTTTGGATGAGATCTTTTGTACTTGTATAGTTTCTTTCTTTCTTTCTGAGTTTGAAAAAAACGTTATTTATTTATTTATTGTTTTTTTTTTTTTTTTTTTACCTTTTTCCTTATTTTCCAGACTGACAACACCATACACTGTTCTACAGAAGCCAAAAAATAACAAACATCCCATTAGGACATGTTCCCACCTGAGCTCTGAAACTTTCCAGCTCCTCAGCACTTGAATCTTGACTTATTTTCTGTTTAAAGCTCTTCTTTCCAGACATACACTGTACGTTTATGTTGGCTTGCTGGTTTGTTATATCCCTGAATTGTTTAATCAATCGATTTTTTGATAATTTGAATGTCAATGGATTTGTTTATTTATACAATGTAAAAAATATAAATAAATCTAAATAAAATAAAACAGTGAAATCATAATTACTTATATCCTCACAGCAGTATTTATCTAAAAGAAAGCTTATACTTTAATGTCAAGTTAAGCATATTGTTTAGGGGGACCAAACGTCCGTATTTCCCAGGACATGTCCGTATTTCACGTCCTGTCCCGGGCGTCCCGGGTTTTTTTTAGAAAGTGAGGAAATGTCCTGATTTTTTAAGTTACCTTCATTGGACCATTAAATCTACAGGCGCTAGGGCACTGCGCATGACGCTGCGTGTGACGTAATCCCTGAGCCGCGTCAGTGCGGGCAGCCTTGTTCTTAATCAGAAGATAGATAGCGTGGCTGTCAGTACGCCAACAACATGCAAAAGCGCAAATGTATGTTTACCAAAGATTTACAAAAGAGTTTCCCCGCTTTCAGACCAGGTCGAGACACATTGGATGCCTTGTGCACAGTGTGCAAAGCAGGCACATATGTCTCGGTGTCCAATGGAGGTGCAAGGGATCTGAAAGGCCACCTGGACACCGAAAGTAAAGATAGTCTATTGATATGTTTGTTCGTTTTTGGTACATTTTGAGTTATTTTTGCTACACAAGAGGTATTTTTGTTAATTAGCTCATTTGTTAATTTATTTTTTCCAATAGCTTACAGAACAGACATTATTTTGTTCATTACTGAGGCTGAGTATCATCTGTTATTGGGAGTTGAGAGTTAGTGTTAACTTTTATTGTTAAGTGAGGGATGTTTAGATGAGACATTATTTCTTTCATTGTGCTATTCATTCATTACAGGAATTGTTAAGCATTTTTAATAAATACATTTTGAATGAAATTATCATTTGTTATTGGAGTTATTGCTGTTGACTTTTACTGAAAAGCATTTTTAATAAATCAACTGTAAATATCATGTTTTTGTAGGATTACGTAGGCAGACCCCCCCCCCCCCCGCTCCAAGGTGTCCTGGTTTTCCCAAATGAAAATATGGTCACCCTAATATTGTTAGCACAGCCAAAGGACATAGAAGCAGAAACTAAACCAGCATGGTTAATTAAAAATTTTATTATAAACAGAACAAAAGATATATGGAGTGTTATCGAACATCCAGAATTTGACCAAATCCAAAAATAATTAAAAGTAAAGTGGCTGGATTTCAGTCCCTGTGGTCAAAGAAGTATTTTTCTTCAGTCCCAGAGCATCCTTAATTTAGAGCTAATGAGGAAAAGGTTAAGGCATGGTCAGATGGTACGAAAATCTATCAAAAGAATCCACCAATGAACAAAGGAAACAAGACAACTTACAAAGACGTTGTCTTGCAGGAAACAAAAGAAAACTGGCGGGGGAATCAAAATCAAAATATGAGGAACAGCTGAGAGCACTGAAAGCAGAGGAAACTAAGTAGAAAATCTACATATATTTTCTGTACAAGTTTGATGTACTGATTTCCTGTACAAATTCAAAAACATGGGGTTCTCTGAATTCCAAACAGACATATGTCCAAGGCCTCTCTGTTACCCTGTGGGTGTACCCAACCTCTCACTGATGATGCTGGGGATGGGCCCACGCCCACCCTCATAATCTTAGAGTTGCAGATGATGCAAGATAAATGGCTATAGATAATCCATGAATGTGTTGTTTGAACAATGCTCTAAGAAATGCCTCCACAAAGGATTTGTATTGAAACTGATACTAACTTACAGTTTTTCCTTACCATTATCCTTCTATTGTTAATGCAGTGTAATTTTCATCATAAGTAACCTCAATGACTAGTCCTGTGAAAGTCGTTTTCACAGGTTCTTTTGACGTCTCTTCATCCCTCTCACTGATTCCTTCTCCACAGCACTATGTCCTTGCATTTGGTGGAATCATTGCGGTCCCTCTGATCCTCGCCGAGCCTTTGTGTATTGCAGACAACAATGAGGCAAAAAGCCAGCTCATCTCCACCATATTCTTTGTGTCAGGATTATGTACTCTTCTGCAGACTACCATTGGAATCAGGTAACAAAGCAGCAGTGAACCATTAAGCCCATGGGTTACGCAAAGTTTAGATACATAAACTAGAATTTTCAGGTTTGCGTAAACTTCTTAGGCAGCTTACATGTTGTAATTCTGAGGTACTTACCTCATTGTGTATGAATATCTATCAGTATATTGTGTGAAGGGTTTCCTGTTTGCATTGGGCTTTGATTTTTTTTTTTATTTGAAACGGGCAAACTAATAGAATATCCCATATAACAATACATTCTCTTTACTCAGGTTATTGCAATGGTAGATGAATCATTTAGATTTTAGTTATTTGGGATCTGACAGTAAATCTCCTTCCACCTACATACTCCGCCTTGCATTGCTTTAGAGTAAGTCAGATCTGGCTCTGTGCCACATGAATGCTAAAAGGAAGGATTTCCTATTCAGGGTCAATCCTCGTACTCCCTTCACTACATTTGCTTTAAAAGGATTCCTTTGGGTTTCTCTATTGATCTACCAATAGTTTCTATGAATGTCTTTGTTGATCTCTGCCCCTTGCGATACGATTGCAATCCTGCATCTGTGTTGCGACACAGTGTTCAAAAGGGTGGACATGCATATCTGTGCATCAATCAGCCTGTGCAAATAGCTAAAGCTTTTGTTCAAGTTCTCCACCTTCTTTTTTTGGCAAATACTTAAAAGGTCACATGTGATCCTAGCAAACAGACTGACATTGAAAGATAAGTAGTTAATCTTTCTTGGTGCATTTGGAGTAGTTGAATAACAACTGGAATATGCATGATATACAGCAACTTGAATAAGAAAATGTTCTTAAACATATTTAGCCATGTTAGAACCCCAAACTATAATTTATTCTGTGTATTACATTTCCTTCCGTTCGCATCTACTGTATAGACAGAGCTACAGAAGAGTAGCTTAGATCAAAGCATATAAATAACTCCAAACAACAGTATGTCACAAGACTTTAAAAGTGCTTCAGAGACTTTCTCTACCCATTCTCAATTCAATTAAGTTCAATTTAGTTCATTTATACAGCGCCAATTAACCACCCACCATCTCAAGGCACTTTACGCAGACAACTCAGTCAGGGTTATACATTCAGATTAGTTCAAAGTTTTCTATCTCAGGAAAGACAGGTGACTCAAAGGCAACCCTCACAGCAACCATGCTTGTAGCGACAGTGGAGAGGAAAAACTCCCTTTAAACAGGAAGCAACTTCAAGCAAAACCAGGCTCAATGTGAGTGGCCATCTGTAGAGGCTGACTGGGGTTTAAGGACACAGAAGTAGACATAGAAAAAGAAGCAGAGATACCAAAGGCAACTTTCAACCAATGAGCATGAGCTATTTTTTTAAGAATAGATCAAGTATTAAATTTTCTAAATGTTAAAATCAAGGAGTGAACTACCACAAAAATGTGTAGCTCTACTTGAAATAAAAGAAGTTCTCTGATAGAGAGGGAATCCAGGACTTCAGGAAGATAAGCTGAAGTCTCACTGTAGCCAAATGGTATCCATATAAACCTTACCTGAACTAAACTGGATACAAATATACACATTGCATGTTATGTTTTTTTTTCAGGGGATATACATGTAAACCATAAACATTTGCTTTGGTATGTTACATGAAATCCAAAATATACAGCAGGGTTTGGTGTTGTAATATAACATGATATAGAATGTACACTCACCGGCCACTTTATTAGGTACCCCATGCTAGTAACGGGTTGGACCCCCTTTTGCCTTCAGAACTGCCTCAATTCTTCGTGGCATATATTCAACAAGGTGCTGGAAGCATTCCTCAGGGAGTTTGGTCCATATTGACATGATGGCATCACACAGTTGCCACAGATTTGTTGGCTGCACATCCAGGATGCGAATCTCCCGTTCCACCACATCCCAAAGATGCTCTATTGGATTGAGATCTGGTGACTGTGGAGGCCATTTGAGTACAGTGAACTCATTGTCATGTTCAAGAAACCAGTCTGAGATGATTCCAGCTTTATGACATGGCGCATTATCCTGCTGAAAGTAGCCATCAGAAGTTGGGTACATTGTGGTCATAAAGGGATGGACATGGTCAGCAACAATACTCAGGTAGGCTGTGAAGTTGCAACGATGCTCAATTGGTACCAAGGGGCCCAAAGAGTGCCAAGAAAATATTCCCCACACCATGACACCACCACCACCAGCCTGAACCGTTGATACAAGGCAGGATGGATCCATGCTTTCATGTTGTAGACGCCAAATTCTGACCCTACCATCCGAATGTCGCAGCAGAAATCGAGACTCATCAGACCAGGCAACGTTTTTCCAATCTTCTATTGTCCAATTTCGATGAGCTTGTGCAAATTGTAGCCTCAGTTTCTTGTTCTTAGCTGAAAGGAGTGGCACCCGGTTTGGTCTTCTGCTGCTGTAGCCCATCTGCCTCAAAGTTCGACCTTACGTGCGTTCAGAGATGCTCATCTGCCCACCTTGGTTGTAACGGGTGGTTATTTGAGTCACTGTTGCCCTTCTATCAGCTCAAACCGGTCTGGCCATTCTCCTCTGACCTCTGGCATCAACAAGGCATTCCCGCCCACAGAACTGCCGCTCACTGGATGTTTTTTCTTTTTCGGACCATTCTCTGTAAACCCTAGAGATGGTTGTGCGTGAAAATCCCAGTAGATCAGCAGTTTCTGAAATACTCATACCAGCCCTTCTGGCAACAACAATCATGCCACGTTCAAAGTCACTCAAATCACCTTTCTTCCCCATACTGATGCTCAGTTTGAACTGCAGGAGATTGTCTTGACCATGTCTACATGCCTAAATGCACTGAGTTGCCGCCATGTGATTGGCTGCTTAGAAATTAAGTGTTAATAAGCAGTTGGACAGGTGTACCTAATAAAGTGGCCGGTGAGTGTATGTATATGGATTTAAGGACTTCAAAATCTTTAGCAGAACACCATATTGTCAAGGTTCAAAACAGAGAACCCAGTATTCAAGCAAAAAGACAGTATGATATCTCAAAAGGTGTTTATTTAAAGTGACAGATCTGCAGTGAAAAGTTAGGGCATCTAAGGCAGGAACCTGTGGAGAAAGAGAACACAGGTTAGTGACCATTTCTTTCTGGCAGAGGAAGATTATGAACGTGTGAGTCATTAACCTGGTCTTATAGTTCAGTCTGTCCCTAGAGACCAAAGTAGGTTCCAGCCGGTCAGCTGCCCACAAGACACGGCGGCTCTGCCCAGAGAGTCCCAGATGTTGAAGCCCCTGAGACCGGAAAACAGGCAGGAGATCCAATCCAAGCAGACGAAGGAAGGCAGGATAATCCAGAGGGCGAAGCCAAAGCCAGTGTCGAGGTAGTGCACAGGAGTCTGGGTCAGAAGATCAGAGATCCAAAGAGGTACCAAAGGGAAATCCAGGATGGTGTCAGGAAATAGTTCCAAATTTAGTCCACAGACAGGCAATCTGCTGGAGTCTGAAGACAGGTCAGGCAAACAGATCAGAACAGAAACAGGCAGGCTCAGAGGTCCAAAGGCAGAGATGGGCAGGATCAGGCAATCATAAAACAGTAATACTCACGAGAAGACTCTCACCAAGGGCTTGAAAATTTTGGCATAAATAACTGGAAGAAGGCAGATTAAATAGAGGCTGGAGCAGGTGAAACAGACGAGCGGTAATGAGAAACTGGGCAGAAGTAATCAAGTGAATGAAATGATTAATCAAGGCAGTCATCAGCACCAAATCTTGACACATATATGCAACAAAATTAAGGGCTAGAATCTATACCAGGTGACTTGCAGATTTTTCAGTTGTTCATACCATTAATTACTGCAGTACATCTTATTTCATATTTCTGTATGACATTGTTTATTCAATCTATCTGTCTGTCTGGCTAACTATTTGTAAAAAGTGATGCTATGATGGCAACAAACCTGCAAAATACACACCTATATACATTATTTCTTATTTCTTCTCCACTCATACTTAATATTTTCTTAGCGTAGTTAAATTGCTCTTTATTAAACTCGAGTCTTCATTTACCTCTTTAAGCGCACCCTATTCGCCTAACTTTTAACGCAATTTTTTTTCTGACTTACAGGTTACCAATTCTTCAGGGAGCGACTTTTAATTTCATGACCCCAACTTTGGCCATTCTTGCTCTGCCAAAATGGCAGTGCCCTGTTCCAGATGCCCATGCAATGCAGCTGAAGAATGGCAGCACTCCCCTGACAGGAGAAAAGTTAGATGAAATTTGGATGTCAAGAATATGTGAGGTGAGAAAAATATTCATTGAAAGAAGACAATAATTTCCAGTAAACTGGACTATTTAACAGGTGTATGAAAAAACCACAAATAGATTATTGCATAAATGAAGCAAATGTGTGACACAACAATCTGAATTCTAAAATTAAAACTGATTTTTTAATGCAATAAAATACAGTTTAAAATAAAACTAGTTCAGTTTCATATGACTAAATACAGTTTTTATTCAGCCTCAAACTATTAAATATAGTATGAAATTTGTGAAATTCACCTTCAACAAATGTATATTTAATTTCAAATTCTGCAGTCATAGATTCACTCTGGCTAATTGAAATTAAGTTTCTGATGGCACATTTACAAGTTTCTGCTCATACTCTTTATGTCATCTATATACATTCAGATTATTATGCAACACATTTTAATGTGAAATAAAATGCTCTTCATATAGTATTAGTATTTCATAGTATTTTAAACAGATTTTTTTAACAGTTAACATGTTTGCATGTTTTTTGACAGAATTATGTTTCCCTGTGCATGGGCTGTAGTTCAAATACATTTTGCGTAACAAAATTCAAGAAAAAAAATGTTTGGTAGGATTTAAAGTGGATTGTGTTTAGTGAAAGCTGTTCATGACACTATTAGCTGCAAAATGGGACTCATAAACATGTTTTTGGCAGTAAATCTATTGTAGGACCTGACATATTAAGATGTGATGTTCACAATTAAAGCCTTTTTTGCCAATGACTTCGCTGAGAACTTGGCTTGCATACTTTTAGCTTTTGACGGCTTTATTTGCTCGACTGGAAATAAAAAAAACAGAAAGAAGATAAAAATCCCATGTAATAGGGTTTTACAAAACTGTTGCTGTACTTAATGACTATATCTGCTAATTGGCATATAAGTGTATTTATTTTCTACTTTTATTTTTTTATCCATCCATCTATCCATCCATCCATCCATCCATCCATCCATCCATCCATCCATCCATCCATCCATCCATCCATCCATCCATCCATCCATCCATCCATCCATCCATCTTTCACCTGTCTGGCAAGGGTAATAGAGAGCAGTATAACAGAACATATAAATTTTTTTTATTGTATTAAACTATTTATAAAAGCTTAGTCAAATGTAAAGGTACAAAGGACAATCTACTTTTGACTTTTAAGTTTTAGGGGATCATTTGCACACCAAAGTGTTGTTATCTTCACTGCACTCGATTGGGTTTATAGTCAACAGGTGGCATCTTAATGTACAGCTGTGTGTCATTTATTAAAATTTAAGATAGGGACAGCATGTTGATATTAAGTAAGAGAGGCCCTATGATGGACCTTTGAGAAACACCACAATTATTTTTTTGGGGTCTCTGATGTAAAGTTAAGACAGGCATATGCTGTACGATTTTTTGCCCTTTTCGGGACGATTTTCAAGTCGAGCAAGATTTTTTTTCTATCAAGCCAATTTTTTAGCCTTATCGTGCGTCTTCCGTTGTGCAAGTATACAGGGGGTAGCGAGGGGCAACTAGCCTCTCACAACCACTTCCCGATCAGGAATCGCAAAGTCGGCAGAAAATCCTGCTGTTGAAGCAGAGCTACGAGTGTCTACAAGCCGATTTACCAGAACATCACGCACTGCACATGTGCAAGTAAGGAATTTCTTCTTCTACTTCCAGATTGATGAGTCCGACCAGCGCCATATCTCGGCGCTGAGTGCGAAGTGTGGTTTTTGGACATGCAGTGTGAGCAGGTAGATCGCATCAGAGCGTCGGTCCGTACGGTGTGAGAATATACATCGTGAGCTGTGAACTTTTAAACCCTGCGATTTCGTTGTACAGTTTGAGCTGTAGCTGCGTGCAACAATTGAAAATATCATACAGTGTATGCACAGCTTTACTTAATGAAAAAAAAATAATAATTTTTAAGTACCATTGGACATGTATGTTTAAGGATTTTTTAGCAGAGAAGTAAAAAAAAAAAAAAAAAGCAGAGAGGCTCTATTCTGTTGCGCAGACATAATTTTTGGAGATGATAAAAAAATTTAACTAATAAACTAATAAGAAGATGTTTAATTATCCTATAAAATACTATTTTGGTTTTTTATAGGAGCATATCAGTATGGCTATCCTTCTTCCAAGGGAAAAACAATTGTATTTAATGCAAACAATCTTTGAAAAACATGGTTAACTATATCTATAGAAATATGTGTCCTTGTTAGTTAAAAATTGTTGCCTCTTTCCCTTTTTTAACAGATTCAGGGGGCCATACTGGTTGCCTCTTTGTTCCAGATTTTCCTGGGATTTTCTGGACTGGTGGGCTTCGTGCTTAAATACATTGGCCCTTTGACTATCGCTCCTACAATCAACCTCATCGGCCTTTCGCTGTTCATTGAGGCTGGAAAGAAATGTGGCAGTCACTGGGGAATTGCTGCTCTGTGAGTGAGACATCTATGTATCCAATAAACATTTCCAGATTATCGTATCCTTACCTCTCATTAGTCTTCTAATTTTTGGGAGGTTGTTAAAGTTTAAAGCATAATATAACCTATTTCAGAATATAAAAAGGCTAAGTCTGTTCCTTGTGGTTATTTAGTAGACATAATAAGGCAAAATAGGCCCAGTGTCTTTTTTGTTGCTATACTATATGACAGATCCAGCTATACATAGCATATGTTTCTGACATGCTAAAAAGTGTTTCAAAATAAATAGCAGCTGTGAGAAGACAATCATGGTTCATCTAAAGTAACAGCAAGGCATTCAAACATCAAACATGGCAATCATAACATTTCTAGACATATTGGTGATGGTGGTTAGAATGCAGAGCAAGTTTAGTCCTTAAAACTCTTTTTGATACAAGGTCGGAGATGACGACCTGCAGTTCTGTTTTTAACAACCCAACTTATACAAGTCCCTTGTTACAGCATTCTCAATTTTGTCTGCTCTTCTCCAATGATTGCTTTTGAAAAGAAAAAAGACAGATTCTGGAAGTGCAATTATGTTTAGTTTGTCTGACTGCAGGCTGTAAGTTGTAACTTTATGAATTCAGAATTCTGCCAAAGGTGTACACCTGTAATAAATACTGATGTGAGCAATTTTATTTAAAACATGTAAATTACTCCCCACACCCATTTTTGACATTGTGTGTTTTCAGATTTTCTATCAAATTGATTGGTCAATGTTCCTTCTCTGTAGATTATCTCCTACTTGCGTGGGGACCTATTTCTTTCCACTCATGTCAATTTTTGTCACTTTGAGTGTAGAACCAACCGGACAAAGCTTGTGACAGATTACTTTTCAGGAAATCCAGCCTACTAAAACATTACTATTGCTCTATAGTTGTGTGAAATAAGGCATATCGTTCAAGTCTCCTGACTTGAAAAAGTGCTATATAGGTTAAGGTGACCAGATTTCTGATATCAAATCTGGCGACATATCCAGGTTGTAGATAATAAGAAATCTCATCAAGATGAAATTAGAAAACTGGGACAGTAGTGGTTTCATTTATTTTGACATATTTTACATATTCACTAATATGTCCCACCTCAAAGGATCATAAAACGTACTTTTATTGAACAACATCAACAGAAAAGAGAACTTTTAACTTAATACTCTTGGTCTGTGAGTTAAGAAGATTGGCTCCCAACCAGTGGGCAGAACTTGACCCTCTAAGACATACCCCTTCCTCATTTGCATAATGAGGCAAAAATGCATACAAAAATGTAAAAACAACAGGCAGAAATAAATACCGTTGAAGAAATAAACAGAGTAAAAAAATACAAAGGAAGAATAAAACAGACACAAATATTATCACATGCACATAAATAAATACTTAAAAATATAAGTAATAAATAAATAAAGCTGAAGATTAAAATGGACAATAAATCAATTAGGTAATTATTACAAAGGCGAATAAATAAAGAAGCTAATTAAAAGAGATAAACATTTATGTCTCACTGTATAATTTAATTTCTACCTACATTTATTTGTTAATTGTATTTTTGGGGGGCAATTAATTGTATGCTTATTTATTTATTAAGCATTTATTTATTTCTGTATTTATCTTTAAATTTGGCAGAGCTGGTCCGCCATACAGTATATATTCTCCATAAAGTATCAGAAATGTCCAAAGAAAATATAAGCTATTTTCTTTGTATCACTAAGTAACTCATTAAAATGTGAGCTTCATGTTAAGCCCAGCTAAAAAGAGAACCAGATATTCAGCCAGACACAGCGTGCATTTTTAAAAAGCTTTTTTAAAAAGAGGTCATTAACCTTGTGCAGACAGACTGATTGTCTGACAGCTCTTAGGAACTATGGCAAACCTGCTGACAGAGACGATGGGTCGACAAGGTTCCGGGTAATGGTTAAGTCAACGTCGTGTCTGGAAACCATTAGCCAGTAAGATATCCAACACGGGTGAGGAAAATGAGAGATCCAATAAACAATGACTCTGAACAGGCAGGGAGGAAAAAAAAAAAAAAAAAGAAATGTCAGGCATGTGTTAAATTGACGAATTTTCAATGTATTAAAACTTATTTTTCTTTAATTTGGTTTATTCAGTTCATCTATTAGTTTATTTATGTAGTGCCATTTCACAGCATGTTGTCTCAAGGTACAGTCTCAAAAAAGTCAATCTAATTGAATTATACAGATTCCAAGTCAGTTATGTGTTTTTTGAAATTATTCATGTTATTAAACACTGTTACACTGCCATCAGCTTAGGGTTATTTTTCAAACAGGTTTAACAGTTTTCAAGGCAGCCACCCAAGCAGAGTCATGTAGCATCAATCATAAAGTAATGGAGCAACCGTTTTTCCTGGGAAGTCACATGCAGTGTGTCGCTGAATTTAAGCACTACATTATGCTTAACATGAATGTAACAATGGTGAGGAAATTCTCCTTTATTAACAGGTAACTTCCAGCAAGGCTTTGCTCAGTGTCTGTGACTCTGCAACGGCTGAGCAGGAGTGTGAGTAGACAGATTACAAGCACAAAAATAATATAGAAGTACTGGTCTAGCAGTACTTTCTATATGAGAGAAAAGTGAAGGATTCGATGCAGTAGTTTATCCTGTAGAGAAGAGTAAAAAGCCAAGAAGATGTGTAAAAATACAAGCCAGTTTTCAAGTCTATATGATTAAAATAGAGCACAAAGAGTTAGTCTCATTAAAAGCTCAAATAATGACTATGTTTTAGAGGGCAAGAGAGTTACTGTAGCTGTTTAAAGACAAGGCTAAGTGTATCATCAGGAAAATTAAGTTGCGGGCATCAACAGCTTAGTCGATGCCCCTCTCCAGGAAGCTGCCACTGCTAATAAACTTTAGCATTTATCATGCTAAATTATGTGTACACAGAGATGTAGCTCCTGATTTTGAAATATTGAATTTTTCAGAAGATTTTAATCATTATTTTAAAACACACTTTTCCCCTTAAATCAGACAAAACTCACATAAATATGGAAGGGGTCACTTCTGGTGTCAATACTGGTTTGATTTGATTTGCAGCAACCTGCTTCTAGGGTTGCAAACAAAGCAGCAAGGTTGCACAAAACCTTTTATGGTGGCTTTGAAGAATCAATAACTTTTTTTGTTTGGGCGAGGGGGGGGGGGTAAATTATGGTTAGAATAAAACAGTTTAACAACCTGGTAAAGATTTTGATTTATAAATTTGTCTGTGTTATTAGTTCTCTAGAATACATTAAAGGAAATGCTATTATGTAACTGCAGACTTTAGAAAATATACAGAAATCCCGTTGTTCAGAAAGCAAAACAATCAAATCCAGGATTTTTAAAGTAAATTACTAAAAAGAGACAGAAATATTTAAAATATTACTATTTTGATATATATGCGAGTATATTTGTGTTTACAGTGTGTCCGTATAAGATCAATTGCACACATTAGATCAGTCATCCTGTCAACACAGTTGTGAAAACACATTGATTAAACATTAAAACACCCTCTCGAAACACACAGGCCCCCCAAGAGTCAGGACATGAACCAAGAGATCAACTAAACTAAAAAACAAAAATTAACAACTGACAAAAATACATAACACAAATAAACAAAGAATAATGATCTGGTCCTGATAGCTGGGCTGAACCGTATATATAGCAGAGGGACAAGGTGAATAAGATGAATGATAATTAGAGAGCAGGGAAGGAAAAGCGGGTGAATGAAGTGAGTAATCAACTATTACTTGGACTATGACATTTGGAGCTCCTCTGGGCTTTGTACCGCAGTGGAGCTTAGTGTCATGATGGGTATCAGGGAGGCCCAATATGCAGAACACTGACGACACGGATGGAAAGTTTAACAGAGTTTATTGGCAAATTCACACATATAATAAAGACTGATGCAATGGTTCTTGGCTGGGACCGGTTCACTGGCGTCTGTGAGAAAGACAGTTTGGTTAGCGAAGGCTTGGTTGAGACTTGACTGATTGTGTTCAGGTTTGTACCTTGATGAACGTAGAGGAGGCTTTGGGAGTGGAACTGTTGGGTCCGGAGAAAGCTTGGGTTGGCAGAGTCCTTAAGCTGTTTCAGCGTCTTACTTCTAAAGGCTGTTTTGACCTTGGCTTGTGTTTCCAGCTCGGTATCCAGAGCTGCTAGGAAATCCAGAGAGTGAGTCTTCAGGTTTGGCTCGGAGGGCTGGCTCGGCAGGTTAAGCTCTTCCAGAGCTTCATAGGAGAAAGAACAGGAAACCAACTGATTAAGACACTGCGGCGTCGAGGCAAGGTCTGAAGGCAGCTTAAGTAGTCCAAGTCCTCCAGATGAGATCATCAGCTGCAGGTGTGCAGAGCAGCTCAGCAGGGAGGATCCAGGGCGGACTCTGCTGGAGAAAAGGTGTATTTCTCCAGCTCCCAACAGTACCCCCCCCCTCAACGACCGCCCCTTGGCGGTGCGGAAGAGGTAGATGGGAGGGAACGCTCATACTCCTCGATGAGAGAAGGGTCGAGGATGTATGAACCAGGAACCCATTGTCGGTCCTCCGGACCGTAGCCCTCCCAGTCGACGAGGTACTGCCAACCGCGACCTCGCCGACGGGAGTCCACCATCCGGCGAACGGTGAAGGCCGGATGTCCATCGACTTCCAGGGCGGGTGGAGGGGAGTCGGATGGAGGGCAAATGGGACTAGAGATGACTGGTTTAACCTGGGAGACGTGGAACGTAGGGTAAATCCTGAGTGTCGGAGGAAGTTGAAGACGGACGGCGGAGGGGTTGATGACTCGAGTGATCTTGTATGGGCCGATGAATCTCGGGGATAATTTGGACAGCCAGACTTCCTGGCCGACCTTGTACTCGGGGGCTGGACGTCTCTTGGGGTCAGTTAACCTCTTAGAGGATTTAGAGGAACGGTTGAGTGCTTGGATGGTCTCTCTCCAAACACGCTGGCAACGACGGATGTGGTGATTGACAGTCTTCACCGATATCTCTCTC